CTACATATGTTATTGTAAATGGTATAATTATTAAACAGCAGAGACAATGACGTACATATAATATTTGGCTTACCATTAAGTGGTTCCTTTATTAAAGTTTATTTCGTATATGGGTACTTCAAAAACTTTTCAAAAATTAAGGAGACCTCCCATTTTTTGTATACATCGTGATACAGCTTTAAAATAAGGTGAGTAAAATATTGAAAACCCGAAATATTTCGTAAATTTATGAGTTTCAATATAGATTTAAGCCTTTCGAAATTATACGAAAATATACGGTTATCGATTAAAACAATTATTATTAAATTCGCGTATTATTTTACAATAAATCGATAATTTACAACAAATCGATAATTAACATGAATAAATAGTAGTCGAAGCTCAGTACTTATTCTATAAAATATGTCGTTGGTGATCGAAAAAAAAATTGTTGTAATATGTTGAACAAACATATGTATATGTAGTCATATATGATGTTATATATTCCTCCTTTCTATACTTGCTCTCAAATTCCTTACATTTAGATATATATTTATCGAAATATAAGGACTCATTACTGTTCATTAATTTATTATTACAATAACTTATGGGTATTTTTTGTGTACTTATGAACGCTAGCATTTTCCCCTCTCAGCTAACAGAATTGAGCAAAATCGTACACAGAGAAAGAAGTTGTGTTATATTAACTTGATTACAGGATGTGTCAACAAATTTCACAGTTAAAGCACATCAGAACGATTTTTCTGTTAATTTGACAGATGGTGTTCTGTTGGTTACAAATTTAACAGTTTTGCTCTCAAATTAACTTTTTTACCTGCTGTTTCAACAGAATTTCTGTTACTTATTGACGAACGGAACATATTTCTGTTGAAAGGATCATTCAATTTGTTAATACAACTGCAAAATTACTATTGATTTTACAGATATAGAAGTTCAATTGATAGTCAAAATTTTTATTCTTTTTGTGCTGAAAAATTAAAATCACATGAAATAAAATTTGTGTTTGTTATTTATTTAATTTTATTTGAAGAAATACAATACAATATGAATTCATTTGTGTTTTTCAAATAAACTTAATTAAGAAAAGTTAAGAATAATATAAAGTTTTTACAACATTTTGTTTCTTACTAACAATGAACCATCTCCTTCCTCCCAATATTACTCTTAGTACAAGATAAATTTTTACCAATTTCCACTCCCCCACACATTAAAATAAATTGAGTTGTTTACTTTGAACGTTTAATTCATTGTATTAATATTATTATTCCAAAACTGTAAAACATTAAATTTTTAATTTTACAAAAATCAAGAAACAATAACAGAAAAAATATTTTGTTCTTTAAACATAAGCGTTCATACAAAGTAACATCTGACGGGATTAAATAATGTTCTTTCACATTTATTTCAGTTAATATTTAACATATAAAATTTGCTTAACTTACATACAGTCGAAAAACATAAATACTGTTCGTTCAACAGAAATTACTGTTAAAGTTCAACAGAACTGATTTGCTTAAGAAAACTAATAACATTATCATTCAAGTTAATTAACAGAATTGGTCCATTGAAACAATACATAACTTTAACAAACCATGCCTTTAGATCACTTAAAGCTTGTTACAAAAAAATTAATAGTATAACCGTTAAACAGAGATTTCCGTATGCCTGTCAGTTCAAGATGTATCTGTGAACTTGACGATTTTCCGTATTACCAGTGCGACCTGTCAATACTTGTTTTATTATTTTTCTTGGCTCAAATATATTTTTTATCAAATTTCAATTAGTGTTTGAAACCTTAAAATGAATTAAAAAAAAATAAATTTTTTTTTTTTAAATTTCAAGTTTACCATTTAATTCTTTAAATAAATAGAAATAAAAATGTCTTGAATTTATATTTAAAAATTTTCTAATTTACTACAACAGCAATTGTTATTTTTTAGTACAGAAGTGGTTATATTATCATTCTAAAAATTCCACTGGGCAAAAATCTATCGATTATTTATTATATATTAAACTTCTGTTGCTAAAAACTCAAATTGCAGCAAAAAAAGAAAAAATTAAAAAATATGAAATACATTTCTAATATATTTTACTCTTTTCATGAGTAATATTCTTATATAATAATAAAATTTGTAAAACAAGCGTGGTACAATTGCGTTCCGCACTGTATATATTAAGTATTAAAGTTTGCGCATTTAGTCATAACCAAATAATATATCCTTATTAGTATGCCTTTTTAAGCTTGTGTACAACCATATGTAAAATTCCACAATTCCTGTGGGCGCCACACTTTATTTCCCATAATAATTGCCACAATTTCCCCGCATTCAATAAATCACTCATACTTTTGCTACCCCAATTTTTTCGCTGCTCTTTGTTTTTTTCTTCACCAGTTGCGCTTGTTTATGTGTTTATATAAATTGTTGTATATGGAAAATAAAGGTAGACATATGTGTAAACATATTTAATAGCGTAATTTTAATAAATTTCTCTTATTTCTTTTAAAAAATATCCAATTTTTATATATTGCTCTCTGCAGTGCAGTTTACATAGTAATCATTGGTATATTAACGAGTGTGTAATTATATGTGCTTATGTATAAATTGTACCATAATTAAATGAGTTGCCTGCAGATGTCTATTAATGAAAATTATAATTTTTGAGAGTATGCTGTTGTCATACTAAATAAGTATAAGTATATAAATTCGCGAGAGACGAAAGTTTTTTGGTGTGAAGAAAGATTTCTGGTTTTAGGGCATATTAATACGAAGTTGAATAATATTAGAGTAACTAAAGATCTTATATAAAATTATTTTAAAATCTCGTTCTAATTTTTATAGTTATCGATTACGAAAAATAGATGAAGAAAGTCAAAGAGAAAATCTGACATTCACACGAAATTTTAGACATATATGATGCAGTGGCATGCCCTCGAAGTAAGTGAAAAATACGTCCAGACCCTAAGGGATGTCATTTACACAGTTAGTAGAGGTGCAGCGAGTGCGGTCTGGATGTAAATTCTTCAAATATCAAACTGCTACTCTTGTCTACAAGCTGCAACTCATCTGCTTTTAAGCCGCCCTTATTCAAAGCCATCCATATCGCTTATTTTGGTGAGGTTAAGTTAAATACCTAGTCATTGGCTTCGATAGTAAACTCACCTATAACCGGAACAAGGTAAAACGATGAAAAAAAGCTGTGACTCAATTCTACGCCTGCAAGGCAATGATTGGTAAAATAATTGGACTAAGACCTCATCTTGTGTACTGCCTATATAAAACGAGCCGGAAAAGATTTAGCCTTCCCACTAATTAGTGGAACTAACCGTGATTACGAAAGTCGATTTATAGTTGTTCTCACGAAAACCCAATCTTTCCAATCTTTAACCATCATACCATCTCAAAGATGGCGGTAAAATTAAAAATATAGAAGAAAGGCCCGTGGTTTTGGTTCCTGGTTAAAGTGCATCCCACAGAACGGCGTAGCCGATGAGCTTTTCACAAAGGAAACAGTCATAATAACCGTAAACAAGGCACAAGACGTGGGCATACCTCCAACCTCAGCAGAGAATCTATTAAGACGAGCCATCACTAGAAAATCTTACATAAGATGGCTGTTGACCAAGGTAAGCATAACTAAGTATTCACTACTTTTAAATAAGACCAGCTTGAGCCGAAACCAGACACTATCTTATAGGGACCCATGGGCTGATTCTCACATGGCTTTTAGCGTAGCTGCAAGGGCATATATGAGAAGTAATCGCTGCCTTGTTATCGTTTTCTCGAAAGCTTTTGTTTCGCCTGCTTTGCAGAGCTTACATTGATAGGCATCATCCATCTCATGAACTTCATATAACCTTCCAAGTGATTTGAGCATTTAGAAAGAAGAGAGGAATCTCCTTAAAAAGGCCAAAATAGGTATCACAACCGGCAAGTAAACCTAAGTACGCTACTAAGAGCAAAATGAGCACATTATAAAAATTCTCTTCGAGAAACTCACATTTCGTCACATTAAAAAAAAAAAACAATTTTTTGCTGGCCTAGAAAAGTGTTTCAGTCCTGTAATAATAAACAAATATTTTTTGGTTTCTATGAGAGTTTAATTTGAAGAAAAATACATCTTAAATATATATATTTACTGAATTTGATTTTTTTTCCTTTTTTATTATTTTGTTAGATATATTTATTCTTGTCCAAACTGGTAGTTAAATTATCACGAGACTCCATAACTACTTTGCTCTTAAAACTAATAAATATATTTTTTTTGCAAGAACATTAGAGTTCTTAAAGTTATATGCTCATAATGGAGCTAAGATGGGTACTGAGCGCTTATTAAGTTAAATGGTTAAGCTTAACAACATGCGTTAAGCTTCTTAATTTTTTTTTGCGAAAGCCATTTCTGTAGAAAAAAAAATTTTAATAAAACTTTTTATGCTGCTAAACATTACGTAAAATGAGTGGATAGCTTTTTATATTTGACATTAAACATTGTAGATACATTGAACATATAATTATTTACAATTAAAAAGAGTCTATTTTTTTCTTGGAATTTCAAAAACATGAAAAATACTCGGAGAGGTGCGGCCGAGGATAAAATATAAACAAAATATTTTTTTTCTCTTTTTTTCATTGTGAAAGGGAGGAGCTTTTAAATAAAATGTATACCCTATTTAATTAAATTAAATTTTTTCTATTACTTATCATAGAGTATGAATTTCGCATTTCAGCATAAATTAAGCTCTCGTATATGTCACTTAAAATCAATAATTTCAACATAATGACTCATTAACTCCTTACAAGCGACTTAATGACAGATCACACTGAAGGAACCAAGTTCTCCGTAGCAAATTGTCCTCTCTCTCTCTCTCTCTTGACACTTTTTTTACACAAAAACTGTAATAAATATTATTTCTTGTATTATTTTTACATTTTTTTGTCGCTTGTTTGTTACTCGCAATGCAAGTTTAAATTACCGCTTGTGCGTCTCTTGTAATTATTTACCTTTTTTGCGTTCGTTCACTTCGTGTTTGCTGTATGTTGATGTTGCACTGCTTTTGCTGCAATTGTTGTTGTCATCGCCGTTGACGTTGTCAGTGCAGTCAGCACGCCCCCTTGCCACTTCAGGAGGCCAACTACTTTCGAAAATTTACGCGTAAATACCGCGCAAAGGCACTAACAAAAAAATGGCACATAAATACAGCAACAAATGCTTCAGTAAGTGGTACAACAATGAAATGGGGTCGCCAAAGAATCCCGCACCAATAAACAAATGAAATTATTTGGAAACTGTTGATTTTTTTATTTACATATATATTTTGATTATTATTTTCTTTTTGTTTCAATTATTATAAATTTTTTATTATATTCTGTTATTTTATTTGTATGTGTTTTCACGCCTTTTAAGTTATTTACTGTTGTTTTCTCACAAATATTTTTATCTCACTGTATGCACATGTGTGTGCATGTGTGTACATACGCATTTTTATGTCTCGCCTGTTTGTTATTTTTATTCACCTTGTCACATGCTGCGACTCACATGCACCCATAACACTTTAGCGATAAATATTAGGCAAATGACATTCAGGTGGGTGGCAGACAGCTGAGTTTTTGGAATATTTGTAATTCTAAATAAACTTTTTGCTTTTATTCAATACTAAAAACCGTTTAAACATGAATAGATTTGTGATTAAGTAGATAATTCAATTAATCTTAAAGTGAGTTCGTTAATTTGCGAAATTTTCCGTTTATATGCAAATTTAAATTTTAAAGAGGGGAAACCATAATATTTTTTATGTTCTTTCGACGAAATAGCTCAATTTTTGTTTATTAGAACTTATTACAAAATTAGCCTATTTTATATATATTTTTTTTAACAAAATTCATTATCAAATATGAAACATTTGGCTTAATTGATCTATCAAAGAATGAGTTTTATTACTATGTTTTTAAGATCAATATCTCCACTAGCCCGTTTAATACAATTTTTTTTTATAAATTTAATTTTATGTCATTTGACCTCGTTACTTTATTTTATGATATACTATTTTATTTTCGTTTTAAAACAAAAACTCATCATTTAATTTTATTTTATTTTAGTTAAGTTAAGTTTATTTTAATTTTTAATTGTGTTTTATTTAATTAAATTTCGCATCATTTTTACTTATTAATATTTTTCCTTTAAATAAGATGTTTTATTTTATTTTGTTTAATTTCACATTAATTTTTTTATTTAACTTTATATTATTATTTTTTATTTCATTTTTCTTTATTTTCTTTATTTTGTTTTATTTCATTTTATTTTTATTAATGTAATTTATTTTATTTTATTTATTAAAATTTTGTTTATTTTGTTTTAACTTATTTTATTTTATATTGTCTTATTTTATTCTATTTTATCTAATTTCATTTAATTTTTATTTTTCATTAAACTTAATTTAATTTAATTTGATTTACTTCAATTCCAATTAATTTAATTTAATTCTTTTTAATAAAATTTAATTTAATTTAATTCAATTTAATTTAATTTAATATAATTTGATTTAATTTAGTTTTTTTAAAGTAATGTAATTTATTATAATTTAATATAATTTAATTTTATTTATTTTAATTTTATTTTTTTAATTTATTGTAGTATAATTTATTCAAATTTAATTCAAATTAATATGATTTAATTTTATTTTATTTTAAGTAGTTTATTCTAAATCAATTTAATTTTAATTAAATTAGTTTAAGTTGATTTATTTTAATTTAGTTTAGTTTAATTATTTTTATTTATTTAATTTTATTTTAATTTAGGTTAATTAAATTTGGTTAAGTTAATTTATATTAATTTTCAGATCCTTTTTTATGACATTGTTTTGTTAAATGGTTTTTGGTTTTATGCTCTTATGGAACTGGCTCAGGCCATATATCTTGGGAAAAAGTGAAAACTTTATTTATATATTTAATATAACTAAATTTAATTTACGTTAAATTATTTAAATTAAATTTTATTTAGTTTAATTAATTTTTAACTAATTTAGTTTTGTTTTAACAATTTGTTTTGTGTTATTTTATTTAACTTCATTTTATTTTATTCTATTTTATTACACTATATTTTAACTAATTTTAGTTTACACTGTGTGATGTTAATTTAATTTTTTTATTTAGTTTTTTTATGTTTAATTTTAGTTTATTTCATTTTAATTTAATGAAAATATTTTATTTCCTTTTTAACTTAGTTTTAACTTTATACAATTTCAGTTAGTGTTTTATATTTATTATTATTCTTTTGGAATATATCATATTATTTATTTAATTTATTTTAGTTCTCTTGTTTCTTTGATTTATATAATTTTTACCTGCTTTATTTATTTCATTAATTTAATTTACATTATTTAATTTTACTTTATTCTACTCGTTGTTATTTTATTTAATTTGATTTTATTGTTTGCTTTTAAATATTCTCAACAAATTTAATTAGACATTTTATTAGCTGGAAATCGAAAGTGAATGCGAATCAGCAGCCCGAAAAACAACAACAGCGCTTACTTGCAATGCCGAAAAGTAAACGACCTTTGTTGCCATAAAAAATTCGATTTGCTTTTAGCCATGTATCGGCATTAAAATCAAAATAAACAAAAATTCGCTGTGACAAATCGCAAAAACAGAAATGAATATGGAAACACTGCGTCGTGTAAACGAATTCAACACCTTTGCCCATATATTGCAGCGCCGCGAGCCGCACTTCACTATCGCTAACACTGTTGGCTGCAACTTCAATCGCTATCATATCACGCGAGCACAAACACACACGATATCATGCACTAATGGAAGCCAATGAATGGCTGAATAAAGGAAAAACCGGCAAATGTTGCATGCAACACGAACATAATGTCACCAAAATCGGTCAAACTACCGATAAATGAAGCAAAAACACAGGCTCAAAACTACGACGAATAAAAGTTATGAAATCGCGCGCACTTCATTACTTCTATGCACACATATATGTTGGTGTGTGCATTTTGTTGATTAAATGACAATAACAAAACTCGTACGCAGAAAAAAAAACACGATGGGCACAACAACTTGTAGCAAGTTTATAGCCACACTGCAACACTTGACTTGACTTGGGTTTCCGCCCAATCGAAATCGCAACCGCACACGCCGAACGCACAAATTGTACTGATGAAGCTCAACATCGCCTGAGTAGCTGGAAGCTTTGCGTCCGCCTCGACGACCATGACAGTGAGTGGCAGCAACACGACCGTCTGCTGCGGCGTCGTCGTGAGCGTTGAGGCGGCTGCGCGCTGTCTGACGTCCCGTGCTTGCCGGTCTATGCAAAGCAAATAGCAAAGCGTATGAATTTTTATATATATATATGTATATATGTATGAGTATGCACCAAATATCATGTGTTCTTTTGCCGCAATCGTTGCGTTCACTTCATTGATATGCTGCCAGCGCTGCACATACAACAACAAAAACTATTATCAAATTTGTTTTAAATGCCTGCAAGTGCATTGCTTCGTGCTCGACGTTGCATATAGGCCAGTGCAGCGAGGCAGCAGCGCCGGAAAAAGAAAATGGAAAATGAGAAACAAAATATTGGAAAACTTTAGCAAAACAGAAAGTTTGAAAAGTAGGTAAAATCGGTGAGTTACACTTATGCGCGTGTTGCTAATTACCTATATACATACATATGCTGTTTTCCTTCGGAAACATTTTTTACCAGCAACACGCTCTCATGTGCTGTAATAATGAATGTTGCGAGACTTTGTTGACAAACATAATCTTATTAATACAGTAATATATTTTTTAAGGAAAAATAATCATTATAAAGCGGATATATTATTGGGTGTATAAATTATACAATAAAAAAAACGATTTTTATTCAAAAAATTGGTTTTTATTGCAAAAATAAAAATAAATAAATAATCATTCAATGAAGTGTACATTGGAAGTGATTTTCGAATATCATCACTAAAAAATGAATCATCTCATCAATCCAGTCATTGAGCAATTCTTCGATTTCTTTAACAAATCCGATACTTTGACAACCAAATCGGCTTGCGTCCATCAAAAAAACCAGTTGTCGGAAGGAATAAGAGGTAGGATATGGTGGTTGTCGACCAGCCATTTCAACGTTTTGCGGTAGTTTTTTAATATTCACAGCTACCTGAGACTGAGCGTCAAGTCATACTGGAAAACTACCTTGTGACGCTTTTCGGTCGCTTCTCGTCGTTTTTAACGCAATGAAAGTCTCAAATGGTATTAGTCATATGCTATTACGTCTCGCATCAATGGTTTCGCCGGGTTGGAATGGATCTTGATCTAGTAAAGACTCGTATTGCTCATCTTTTCGTCACATTTTCCTTTCCTTCTTTCAATCGTTTGGTTGGCTAGATCAGCCTTTAAAAATCAAATCACCACCTTTGAAGCGTTGAAATGGCAAGCATTCGACGGGCTTCAGCTGCACTTTTCTTCCGATTAAAATAGAAAATAAAAACTTCCCGTATATGTTGTTTATTTAACACATATATGGATATTTTGGAAGAGGCAAAAAACTATATTCTTATCAAAAATACACGATAATCGATCGACCGAAAATGCAGGTGATTGCATATTTTGAGAACAGACCGAATTAATTTGTACCCCCAATAATACAAAAGGTAAAGTGTTCAATTTATTTTACATTTTTAGCCAAAAATTTCTAAATATTTATTTATTTATAACTAAATAATGCGGCTCAATAAGAAAAATATATACAAAAGGCACATTTTAAGAAGAAGCAATTTTTTTTGCTTCTTCGTTTTGATCCAAAAAAGTTATCTTCGGACTTAGCAATTTACAAGTAATATTAATTTCGCTCACGCATTTTTCTGTTAAAAAATTTCATTGTCGTGACCACCATGAAATTATTTCTGCAATTTAATTTCTTTTTTTTTAAAAAGAGGTTCCTTCTGCTCACGAGCCTCTCTTCAGCGATACTTATACGGACTTTCCCCAGAACGTCGCCAAACTGTTTTTTGAATGTCTGCTTTGTTGTTTTCCACTTTTTTTTATTATAATGGCAATAATTTTTTTAAATAATCTTTTTACAGTACCAAGTGTCTTTTATTCATTACCAAGCCTTTCGGGGCCCGAACATAAATAAAGTTATAATAAAAATTGCGCAGTGTGACGGGCAAAAATGTAATTTCTCAAAATGATCATACAGACGAATTTCCAGAAAAGGAAGTTGGCTTTCCATGATTCTTAATTTAAAGTTCAAAATTCATTATTTCATCACACAATTTGTAATCTATTAACTGCATATCAATAAATGTGTTT